CGAATCCCCCGTCAGGGACCCGACGTTGTGTCCTTGAAGGAAAGGCACTTTACACCAATTTTCCCCTCACTTCACCCAGGTAGAAATGCTGCTGTCGTAAGGGAAAACGACGAATGGTCCTGCGCAGGTAGCGAGGCAAATTTTTCAGGAGAGGCAAAAACTGTTTTCACTTTATAACTCTTCTATTTTTCATTCTTTTAAGCTATACTTCACCAGATATCTGATTGAGGCATTCATAAAGCAGTTTCTAAAGCTTGAATACTTTAGGTTAAAAAGTAGCAAAGTTATTCGACATTCGTCGTTCTCCCTTACATTGCGCACCCTCAGGTGAGCCTTGCGATGTAAGCGAAAACGACGAATGGTACGGTTCGTCGTTCTCCTTTACACTCGTGAACGTTTATGGGCGTAGGCGATGGTCAGTTGTGACGCATTATTGACAGTCATGACTGTGTACTGGTTACTACAAACAAAAATAAGACGTATACAAACTAGTTATTATACGTATAAAGTTAGGTGTTTGTTATATCCCAACTGCAACTCGGTAAATGCCCTTCGTTTCCCTTCCTCGCTTGGTTAAATACTACACAGTCAGTGGACAAATCAGATGTGCACACATTTTCAACAGCTTGATTTAAAACTATCTCATTCGGAACCAAAGTTTGGTCTCTATGATATCTCTCTATTGTATTCCCTTCAGAAGCGAGTTTTACTTTTATTTTCGCTAATTGCAAAATTTTCCCTGCACGACTAAAGGGATCAACAATGTTACAATGTCAATAATGCGATCAGATCATTGCAAAGTCAAACTTTCACGTGAGAAATGTAACAATCTGACAAGACTGTTTCAAAAACGCTTTCAGGAGAGGTAATGCGACGCTTTGTAGTTAATAAAGGATTCAGTTGATCGGATCGGAAAACATACCACAAAGTAGAGATCGACAAGACAGTTTGAATCTGCATGATATTATTATGCTCGATCATAACGTCCATCAAGTCATAAAAAATCGTAAAGCAAGATTAAGTGTCGCCACAATACCTCCACTTTTTAAGTTGGACAAAGAAATTTTCTCTCATAACGCAGTGTCATTAATTGCTTGGTAATTCTATAATGATGTCGACCAGTGACACGTGCTAGACAAATTGCGGCACTATAACCATCGTTGGGATTTGGGATGTCAAATGACTGGACAGCAAACTAACATGACGTTAGCCTGTGAACATCTGGCGGACACTAATATGCAGTGCTAATAAATTTCTTCCTAAATACTTTTTTGACCCTCCCATCCCAACCCCTATCCCCCTGTTCCCATCCGTTTTCCCCTCTCTCCGCCTGCTCTTGTCAATTCACACCATCAGCATAGGCCTAATACGTGAAGACAGAAAGACAAACTAAATGATACATTCTTATAAACCTGGTCGGTGGTACTCCGGGGGAGGGGTGGTGGTGTATTTGTTTGCAAAAAACCTAGTATGTTTGTACTGACGCAACAGTGACCAGTTGTCATACGTCGCCCATGCCGAATTTGCCCAACGGCAGAGACCAGGGGACAATGCCGAACGAACAGTGATCCTTGACCGATCGACCATTCGTCGTTCTCCCTTACACTGAGCTCTGGCTCGGAGCTCGCCAGTGTACGGGAAAACGACGAACTCTCAATTACGCAACAACGGATTAGGATATGACAAAAAAATTTACACCATCAGATGCAGAATTAAATACTCTATGAAATATATCAAAATAACAAAATCAAAAAATTTTGACCATTCGTCGTTTTCCTTTAGACGGCAGAATGGGTACCCGGCTATTGACAGTAAAAGATCTTGTCAGTTTGTTAGTAGTGTTTGAGCGCTTAATCAGCTGCTTGCACTGTATGCTTCCCGGGAAGCTGAGAATGTTTCAGAGTGTTCTACGGTCTGCTGGGGTAATAATATAGTGTAAAGCGCATAGAGCCTGCTGTTGAGCGGGGATATGCGCAATACAAATGCTACTGATTTATTATTATTAT